ACGATAGGAAATTTTATTCGATCACTTATAGAGAATTTTCAATTTTATTAGAAGTTTAAAAAAAAACAAAGATTCACACTCATACTGATCTTCGCAAGTAGAATTCTCGATTGAAACTCTATTTGTCTTTCTCTGACGAAATAAAATATAAGCAGACAATGTCATTGCGAGACGGTCTGATGACAGGTCGTCTGTTGTGAGAAAGGTCAAGTCACAATGGATTTCGTCCTCTCTTCCCTGTCATAATTTTTAGCACTCCAAGGATCAAAGTACTTTCTATCAAATTTTTAACCCTCAAAAAATATCATAATCTGATATAAAATTATCCGATTCAGTTTAATGATATAATAAACTGGATTGTTTTGGAAGGACAATCCATTCAGAATGGTTCAATGATAACTCTAAAGATAAAGTCTCGATGAAATCAGCATGACGATAAACTTGACTGTTATACGCACAGTTTATTTAGTCAAGATTATCTTTCTTATATCAATGAAACCTTCCGCTCAAAAAAAAAATGTCAATTTTCGTCAGAAAAAAAAATCGTCATTGAGAAAGAAAGTCCAAGGTCAGATCTTTCATAAGCGACATGGTTTTTTTATTTAGCATTTCCTTATTTGCCAAAAGTTTTTTGATGATTTCTGTCATTATCTACTTGAAAAATATTTTCTCAGTAAAAAGCAGAAAATCTTTTACACTTTTTTTTTTTCGTTGTTTATACTTTTTCTGATAATACATTTTAGAATTCTCGAACGAGCTTTTGTTGTAGCTAATCCCTTTATTATTATTATTATATTCCAAGATCGAATTTTAAGACAGATGAAAACAGTCGTCTCATTGATAAATATAAAGTCAAAGTGATTTTCATTATTGAATTATAGATTAAACTATTTTTCAATTATATTTAAATATCATAATAATAATTTTCATATTACCTGTCCAAAACTACCTTTACCAATTAAACAATCAATTGTATATCGTTCAAGCCATACTTCTCCTGGTCGTACGATATAATCATGATTTTCATCATCATATCCATCATTTAAATTTTTTTTCTCCTTCTTATGTAAACCATTTTCTTCAATTACTTGATTATTACTACGTTTTTTCTTTTTAGCATAGTATACCTAAATAAAATAAAAATAAAAAAAAGAAAACATATTCTAAAATAATTATTTATTAATACTTCATAAATAGGAGGATAAATATCAGGTGATATTGAATCTACAACTGCTGGTTGGAATGTATTATATGGATATGTATTCGAACTACTGTATGCACTACTAGCATCAGTAAGACTACTCGCATTTGATGAAATTTGATTGTAATGATGATAAACACCATTCCAATGTAATGGGTCATAAGTATATGGTATAACCCATTCACTATAAGGTATTTGTACGTATTGCATGATGTTACTTTATATACCTCTATCCCAAAAAAGTGTACTAATAATTACAAACAAAAGATAAAGCATGAAAAAAGAAAGAGAGAGAGAGAGAGAGAGAGAGAGAGCGAGGAAAAAGAAAAACCAGACAGAATTTGTCGTTCGAATAAACAGAGTGTATCGATGATGACAGTCAATAACAAACCTCGAACATCAAGGTTAATATTAATGAATTAAACGATACAAAAGAAAACCACTAAGAACAAAATATATATACTTTAGTCATTTTCATGGGCATCAAATTTATTTTTTTTT